CACAATTTTCGAACTACCTCAGAGCACAGCTGTGATAGAACTGAAACAATTGTAAAAAGCGGGATCTCTACTCTTCAAACGGAAGAAGTGACACTATATCGACTTATTTTTGAAATATTTATAATTTTAAATGAAGTCCAACAATCGGTGGGTGCATCGTTACAGGAAGAAAGTCATAAAGTTGAAGAAGCTCTAACTTCTAACAAACAGGGACAACTACCAAAACAGCGTTATAAAAGATAGGAAAACCCATGCTAATCCCTGCAGTTTTAAGGAAAAGCACGTACACAGAACATGCGGCAAGGATATCAAAGAAGCCGCGTAGATGCGAGAAAAATAAAAATAAATCAATAATGAAAACTATGATATAACAACAACTGTGAGAAAATAATTTACGTTTAATTTCTTAGAATACAACATTACTGTACATAAAAAATCACGGCATGTAATAAAGAATAAACAAGCATCATCTTATTTAATCAGCGCAGTGGCTAGGAATAAAATACAAACTTATGAAACACGGTGGCCGGTCACGGTAGCCGAGCGGTCTAAGGCATGCACTGTCTTCGTTCGCTTGGAAGCCGGGATCGTGGGTTCGAATCCTACTTATGGCATGGATGTTTGTGTGCGTTTTTCTGTGTTTGTGTACAGGTAGAGGCCTTGCGACGAGCTGATCACCCGCCCAAGGAGTCCTACCGTATGTCTAGGATCTAGTAAACCGAAGTGAAACGGAGAGTTTCATGGAGTTAGGCCTAGGCCCAAACGAGGGCTGTAGCGCCAATGAAAAAAAATATGAAACACGGTAACTGGGATAAAATAAAACGAATAAAATTCGACAATTAATTTCTTACAATAGGTAAAAGTTCGCGTCACACCTTTCACCTTGTGACGGCACACCGATTGCGGAACACTGAATTAGAGGACCTAACTTTTCATAGTTTCCGCCATAAGTATCACAAATTCAACTCCATAGCTCACAGAAAACACCTAGTCTCCATTACAAAGATAAATTGGTTGATGCTATTTAGGGGAAATTTTTCTGTTTATTGTGAGCATCGTAGAAAACACGTAAAGACATATTCTTTAGACAAAATGCAGATTTCTTTTATATTAAAGCAGGTGGTACCTGTAATTACCACTGGGCTTTAGAGGGTTAACTGGCCGCGCCATAGCTCAAGGGGTTAGTCGCTGGCTTCCCACCGCGGCGGCCCGGGTCTGGTCAAGCGGGATTTGTGGTGGACAAAGTGGCCCTGGGGCAGGTTTTCTCCGAGTACTTCGGTTTCCCCTGCCAATCTTCATTCCACCAATTGCTCCACAATCACCCTCACCTATCATCTGGGGCTGGTACAATAGGCCAGAAGTGGCCACAGTACAAGGGACTTAGTCCCACCCCATTAGCAATAAAAAAAAGGTTAACTGCAATCTGTGCCGTGCAACAAGAGGGGCTGTGCTTACTATCCACACAGATAATTCAGGTTTAGCAGCGATTGTTACAAATTGTCTGTCCTTAATGCGCGTTAGCAATATCCTTCGGAGAGAGCGACATTCATCTTGGACGGTTCGCATGTAAAACTGCTTTTGAAGCTTTTTATTACGTAACATTACCCATTTGACCTCCAAACTGGTGACGTCATTGTGATCGCCTGCTTCTTCATAATGTTATGAAGTGGCTTGAGAAACAAAATCAATATTTGAACACAAGTTGCAGAAACAAAAAACAGTCGGAACGGTAGGATTTTCGTGAGCCATGTCTTTGAGACCGAAGTCGGAAGATCATATAAGGCAGATCTGATGGGCCATAAGCAATGTTCTCGACCTTGTGAAGAATTTCCTTAACCGCCTCACATCATGAAACTGATTGTCGCTGATATATTCAAGAAATTTATGCCAGGATAAATGACTTTTCGCTGTCACCGCTGTGGGAACTCAAATCCAAGAAATTTGTCGTCTTTCATACAGATGTACAAAGTTCACATTTCAAGGCCCCACCACTGGACCCTGTCTTGAGTCAACTGAATCCAGCAGGCATCCTCCATCCTATTTCTGTAACACCCATTTTAATAATATCTGCTTATACACTTCTAGGAGCTTCAGGTAGTCGCTTAGCCCTGAGAGTTTCGAACGAAGAGTTTACATGCATTTCTAGCATCTTCCTATAGCTATCGTGAACTCCAGTTGGCGTTGTGAGGGTGTCAAGCGGGCTCAGCCCCCTCGGCTCCATCATGCCCGCAAATGCAGTAACTTTTCCTGTCCTTGGGGCCCGATGAGGGGAGTATCTACTTAAAGCAAGAACTCTGGAGCCAGAGAAACAGCCGTTGCTAACAAACGGATCTGCAGCAACATTCCTTTCTAGGCAACGGCTCGGTACACACATTCCTGTGGCAATGGACACTGCTAGAAACTGCGTTTTCTACTCGGCCCGTGCAAAAAGGTTATAAGGAGGACAGTTGGACCAACCGAGTCAGTTCTGTATGCAAGTCTATGAAGAAAAGTTGAGTTGCAAGGGAGCCGCCATTCAGAGAGGATTTGAGCCCGGAAACAGGGGACTTGTCATTGTTAGAAGCCGTTATCAGGCAACTACTAGTCAAGACATTGCGGGCTGGAGAAGACTTAGCATGTGATTTGGAGAGTGTGGAAATTAGCGATAGCGCTGTAACTAAGTGAAGTTACGAGTTGTGTTGTAAAGTGGTCAATAAATTCAATATCCAATCCAAATCCCCGCTGAGAGTCACGCATACTACGTGACCGTGCACTTCTATGTATTCTGTTGAATTGCGATCACAGTTTATGAGAAACTTAGAAGCAACCATTTGGAACGCGATTCTTTAAAGGGCGAAGATGAGTAAAAGAGTAGCAGAAGAGTAGTTGAAAGTGAAAACTCATGGAAGATGTGAGAGGCGCCTTAAAAGGGTGGGGGGGAGGAGAAAGAATCATTTTGTCAGAAGGTTTCTAGGCTTAGCTCGCTTCGCCCTCCTGATAAGTGTAGCGTGAGGGTGAAGCCGTTAGGATGGTTAGAAGCAGCAGCTGGAGACATAGGCCTCAGGATTTCCATTTTCTAAATTAGTGGTGGGTCTGTCTGTCCTTGTCCATACCAAATCCCAACTGGTTAATGCTCTTTAGGGAAATAATCGCTGTTTATTGTGAGAACCATACGGAACACACAAATACACTGTGTGGGCAGAATGCAAAGTTCAGCTGGTACCTCACAGGAAACACATTACGTCTCCGCTACAAAGCCCGACCTGTTAATGCTGTTTAGAGAAACAGTCGCTGTTTATTGTGAGAGCCATACGGAACATATAAATGCACAGTGTGGGCAGAATGCAGAGTTCAGTTCGTACCTCACAGGAAACACATCACGTCTCCGCTACAAAGCCCAACCGGTTAATGCTGTTTAGGAAAGTAATCGCTGTTTATTGTGAGAATCTTACGGGACACACAAATACACTGCGTGGGCAGAATGCAGAGTTCAGTCCGTACCTCAGAGGAAACACATGATGTTTCCGCTACAAAACCCAACTGGTTAATGCTGCTTAGGGAAATAATCGCTGTTTATTGTGAGAATCTTACGGGACACATAAATACACTGAGAGGGCAGAATGCAGAGTTCAGTTCGCACCTCACAGGAAGCACATTACGTCTCCGCTACAAAGCCCAACCCGTTAATGCTGTTTAGGGAAACAGTCGCTGTTTATTGTGAGAATCTTACGGGACACACTGTGTGGGCGAAGTGCAAAGTTTCGTAATATAAAGCAGGTGGTGAATATACCACTTGAAATAAAAAAGTTGATAAAAGGCCCAATCTTAAATGACATAGTTCCCACAAATAATGCACCTGGTTCTCCACTGTGATTCGGGACTTTCGGAGTCCGTAAAAGATTGAGAAATGTTGAACGGCTGAGCAACTGTCAGTGTCATGAAGGTCTCTGCTTCACGGAGATCATGTCTGGTCCGTAATTTGCTTATTGTGCCACCTGCAGAAATAATTTGGCGTCGAACGGGCAGCACTGGAGCTAGAAAAGACGATAATGGAGACGTCTATAGCGTCGTGGAGGGACTAAGGAAAACCAGGTGTTGTCACAACCTAGAACAATCGGCTTTCGATTTCCGGCAGATGCAAGATATGTTTATATTCTGCACAGTTTGAAGACCGGACCTGGGACCGACCCAGCTTCGTAACGGATGGGTCTTTGGGGCTCTTTTCATGCGGGTAAAGCGGCCAGGACGTGACGTTCACCACTCACCTCCATATAGTGCTGAGGTTAGGAATGCATGCACGTGTACCTCCACTCCTCCATACTTCTTCATACCGTGGTTTATAATAAAGAACGCCGACTATTGTGCATGCGATAGCGTAACTGGTTGAGGCACTACTCTGCAAACCGGGGGTCGCGGGTTCGAGTCCCGATAAGGTCACTGGATTTTTCAATTTGTCTAATCCTTCCAGCCGCTCTGTGGTCCGGAAGTCGACTCAGTCCCTAACAGAAATGAGCACCAGGAATCATCCTGGAGGGTACAGGGCGGCCGGCGCGTAAGGCTGACAACCTCACCGCCATTTGTAAGCCGGTTTTCTAGAAAACGTGGGAGCCTCAACGTGTCACGACCCTACGGGTCTCCACGGCCTGTAACAGGGATACCTTTACTTTCACACCGACAGTTGCGCCCATTTGCCAGCCCCACTAACGCCTGAGCTAGGCCTCGCCACTGCTCAAACGGTTAGTCGCTGGCTTCCCACCGCGGCGGCCCGGGTTCTATCCCGGGTCTGGTCAAGTGGGATTTGTGGTTGACGAAGTGGCGCTGGGGCGTGTTTTCTCCGAGTACTTCGGTTTCCCTTGCCAATCTTCATTCCACCAAATTCTCCACCGTCATAATCACCCGGGGTAGGTACAATAGACCAATCAGTGGCCGCTGTGCCGAGTGGACGCAGTTGAACTCCACCCCCCACTAAGAGAAACAACGCCTGAGCTAACCTGCCCGGTTATGTATCTGTGGCAGGAGTGAGTGAGAGAGAGAGGATGTGCGAAAGCAGCAGCAACGGGAATGAGAGCCAAAGGAAACGTGGCACGAAGCGGGCCGCGGGTCGCGGGAGGCACGTGGCGGCCAGCTGTCGCCCGATTGCGGAACAGAGCACCGTGCAGCAAAGCAAGAGGCACGCAGCAGGAGCTGAGGACTGCAAGGTCTGTCTGTGCAATATGCTTAACATGATTTCTGCTTAGTCACCAACTACTTTCTGGGATGTGACACCGTACAGTCTGATATACAGGTAGGCCTGGCAGTACTGCAGGTACGACGTCACTTCCCAGAAGACTAATTTTTAGAACGCCTGGCCCAGAGCAAAGAATTATAAAGCTGTTCTAGAAACCTAAAGAAAAAATATTTCATATTTCATTCAACACAACAATTTTTAAACAGTATACAGATGACCTATTTACATGAATGTCTTATATATGCGGCAAAACATGTTCCCACCCTAATGGGTCATCATCAGGTGCTGAACTTACACTAATATGGATCCGTATTGTAGCGTTGTTCTTTGTTCTGATACTGTTCTTGTTACAAGGTCCTCAAAGTTAAACGTATAATTACGTGACTAAAACTATTATTTTAAATTATTAAAATGTAATTTCGGATGTATGTTATTCCTGGGGTATGACGGCCGCGTGTTCTAGAGCTTCTGGGGGAATCTGGAGTCTTTGGCTGTTGCGACGTTATTCTGTAGCCCTCTGCCTTCATATGAACGTCGTTTGAAGGGCAGAACACGGAACAAGGTCCTGGGGGTGATATTTGGACATGAGAGGGAATAAGTAGCAGCAGGGTGGAGGGAGTTGTACATCCCCAATTAGTGCTAATTAAATATTTATTAGAGTGATCAAATGGTGTTGAGGAGAATATTTGGACCAAAGAGAAATGAAGTGACAGGAGGTTGGAGAAAACTGCATAATGAAGAGCTTCATAACTTGTACTCTTCTCCAAGTGTAATTAGAATGATTAAGTCAAGGAGGATGAGGTGGGCAGGGCATGTAGCACGAATGGGGAGAATATAAATGCATTTAAGATATTGATGGGAAAACCAGAAGGAAAGAGACCACTTGGAAGACCAAGGTGTAGGTGGGTGGACAATATTAAAATGTTTCTTAGAGAGATGGGATGGTATGGATTGCATTGATCTGGCTAATGATAGGGACAAGTGGAGGGCTCTTGTGAACACGGTAATGAACCTTGGGGTTTTTGAGTGGCTGCACAATTGGCAGCTTCTCAAGAAAGGCTCAACTCCATAAGTAAGTAAGTAAGTAAATAGAGTGATCAAATGGAGGAGAATGTGGTTGACGAGACATGTAGCACACATATGTGAGATGCAGAATACGTACGTAATTTTTCAGTCAGAAGGCCGCGTTGGGCTCCAACTAGTTTGAGTGCAACTTGTTTATTTGGCGAGTGAAGCGGGCAGGTATGGGTTACTGTACTAGTAATTGAAGTGCATATAAATATTAGCCACATTCTTGATTAAGGTAAGGATAACTGAGCCTCTCGTTTAACGATACAAGCGCAACACCCGCTGAGAATTCAAAAGGAAGCCCCTTCATTAGTTACATAAGCAATCTCCCCCTACTTCCTCCCTCTGTCTTTCCAGCCCTACATGTTATCGAATTATAGGTCGAAGCCGACGTTTAACTGTCATCTCCCATGAATAATACGCACAAATAGTTCATCATAAAACGTCACGTTTCTTATAGTACACCTCAAAATATTATCAGTAGTCACAAAAGAGACAGGATATACTGAAGAAAGACTGCTCGCCCGTTCATGACCTACAGTATAAAGTAACGTTTTTCCTCTGGTACCAATGTTACCAGTGTTACGTAATATTATGCTGTGTCCGCCTACACATAAATTGAGGAAGGAGTGTTTAATGCTTTGAGAGTGAAACTGAAGTTGGTTTTAGAAGTTTTGCGGAAGGAAAGTGTTGGATGTGTGAATGAAACAAGACCGCGCGAAGACTGGCAGCTACCCTTATTAACCCGTTACGAGCGCAGGGTAACTACTAATATTTAAAAACGCTGAGATGGTTCCCAAGTTCCGAGTTGCTACTGCGTGCTTCTAATGCGGGCCTCTGGCCTTAAAGTCGTCAAAATTTAAGCTCCATTTAAGCTGTCAGTCAGTGTTAAAAAAAAAAAAAAGTGAAGCTATCCCAGGTCGCTTGTTCAAGTCCCGATGAGGCCACTGGATTTTTTTCAGTTTACCTAATCCTTCCAGCCGCACTAGGCCCTGGGGTTTACTCAGTCTCTAACAGAAATGAGTAGCAGGAATTGATTAAATAATTTTCCTGGGAAAGAAAGCGCGGCCGGCGCGTAAGGCTGACAACCTTACCGCCATCTTTGAGCCGATTGTCTTCAATAATGTGGGACCCTCAATGTCTCACAAACCTATGGGCCTTCATGGCCTGATACAGGGATAGTTTTACTTTTTTATCCCTGTAACAGGTCATGAAGGCCCATAGGGATGTGAGACATTGAGGGTCCCACATTATCTAGAGTTCTAGACAATCGGCTCAAAGATGGCGGTAAAGTTGTCAGCCTTACGCTCCGGCTGGCCTTTACTCCCCAGGGAACGTATTTAATTAATTCCTGGTACTCATTTCTGTTAGAGGCTGAGTCAACCCCAGGGCTATAATGCGGCCAGAAGGATTAGGTCAATTGAAAAAAAGTCCAATGACCTCATCGGGACTTGAACCCTCGACCTTCCGACTTGTAGCATAGTGCCTCAACCCAAGCTGTCAGAGTCACTAGATTTTTTTTTTAATTATACAGTTCGACATCTGTTCAGAAAATTAAAATCCCCCTGCCCAAGTCCCAAAGCCATGTTTCTAACCATTCTAACGTCTTCACTTGCACACTGTCCTTGTCAGAAGGACGTGTGGGCGAAGCCTGGGAACATACCGACAAAATGATGCCTGTTCTCCTGCCCCGCAATAAACTGTCTCTAGCTTCTCTCGTTACTCTTCGCTTCCACATACTCTTCTCCTGTACGTTTAACCTCCCTGTCTCTTTCTCTCAGGCTTCAGAGAGTTGTGTATCGTGTTCAGAGATACTTGCAAATCTTCCATTGCGACTGCTCTGCGTAGGTTTCTGTTTGAACAAACAGCTGTTCTTGCAGAACGTCGCAGTTACGGGACTCGCTTGAGGCAACCGCGTAGCGTAGTTGAACAGCCATATGTCCCACAGCAATAAACACGGCCCGACTTGTCAGGATGATAAAAACTGGAAGTAAATAGTTGCGTCCGGTACTCGTGACTTTGCTGTGCTTCTGAAGCTGTCTGTCACAATTGTGCTCACGCCTTCCTCTCACCTATTGCTGGTGATGTCATACAGAACAGATGCTTCCAGCGACGTATGTGTCTGAGTGTATTTCAGAGATTCTGAGTGTTAGTCGTATCACAGTGACGTCAGACAATTATTATATACCACTGTACGAAACGTAAAATGTAACCGATTTTAATGCTTGTCGGCAGTGAGACGGCCGTGGATTTGGCCACTGTCAGCTTTCAAATGCTACTGAAAGAAATTTGAAAAAAAAAAATATTTATTTGACAACATATCTTGTAAACTTATTGAAGTTTCACCAGTTGCCATGCATTTACTGTGATGTGTTTGAATGTTTTGGGGCACATTCTGTGAATAGTAGACCAATGGGTTAAATTGAATGGCAGTTTGAGTGATCAAATCAGAAATGGTATGATAGTGGGAAGGGACGTGTGAGAGGTAAGAAATGTTTCAAAACTTAAGTCGGAAACCCTGAAGGAAAGAGACTTATTGGAAAATTTATGAGGATAATATTAAAATGCTCTTTGAGAAAATAAATTGAGGTTGGACTGGATTCAATTAGCTCAAGATAGTACCCGGGTAATTTCTTTAGTAACTGCTTGACTGGGTCAGTGATTGAGATTAGCTCTTCTATGTGTATAATATAAACTCCGTCGTAATTGCAACACTTTATTTTAGTTCTTGTCCCCCCTCTTTGACACTACATATTTCGGCCGCAGTCGACCATCATCAGGTGTATTTTACTTCAAGGTGTGTCACACTGCACTCAATATTAACATTTAAACTCCAGATTTCCAATTGTTCATTGCTCTGTCGTCAATCGGCATCCGATATGCCAGAACTCCCCTTGTCGGTTTTGTCATTTATGTTCAAAGTCTTTATTAATATTGACTCGTCGATTAGTTTAAAATTTTATATTCTCAATTTAACTCTAATATTTAAAATTTAAATTTAAATTTAAAATAANTAAAATTTTAAACTAATCGACGAGTCAATATTAATAAAGACTTTGAACATAAATGACAAAACCGACAAGGGGGTTTCTGGCATATCGGATGCCGATTGACGACAGAGCAATGAACAATCGGAAATCTGGAGTTTAAATGTTAATATTGAGTGCAGTGTGACACACCTTGAAGTAAAATACACCTGATGATGGCCGGTTGCCGCCGAAACATGTAGTGTGAAAGAAGGGGGACAAGAACTACCATAAAGTGTTGCAATTACGACGGAGTTTATGTTATACATATAGAAGTGTGGAATGTAACAGGATGCTAAAATATAATATAGTAAAGAAATTAGCTCTTTCCAACGGACCCAACAGACTAGGCAACCTGCAACCCTCCCCTGACGATGGAAACAGTAATCCCGAGCGAAAGTCTGTTGTTGACAGGGCGAGGAGAGGGGACTTCACTTCTATGCCCCAAGTCTAGGTAAAAAAATCCATAAAGGATGGAAGTCTAACTCCATTGTTCTTGGCCGCTTTACCCCGCCGGGGAAGTCGCCCCCGTTACCAACTTCGTAGGAGGCTGGGTGGGCCACAGAGCCAGTTTGGGTGCTGTCGAGCGAGAAGAGAAAAATCTATCCCTTGCTCGGAATCGAAATCCAGCCATCCAGCCCGTAAGCCATCGCTATACCGACTGAGATATGCCGACACCTAGCTCTGGCCATCAGCAGACTACAATTTCGTCGCTTAATTGTAGGAGCTCAGGCTCAAGGTCTAGCAAAATGCACAGGTCGCCTTGTTCTGCTGCAGCTCCTCTGTCATGCGTGTTATGCAGTGGAGAAGACAACAGGCGCGGTGTGCTCTCACCGTGACGTTCTCACGTAAGTACTTAATTTCTGAACGGGCTCGG